TCCTGTATAACAGGAACTGGAATAACAACTTGATTTGGTTCAACAAAAGTTATTTCAATGCAGAATTCCACTATTACCAAAATCATTCCCCAAAAAATTAGTAGTAATGGACTCAACAATTCTAGTGCCACGATTTGGACAATAGAACTTATATTCTTTTGATCTGTCCGGGTACAAAATAAAGTAACCAGGAGTGGATTTCAGGTCTATTTTTTTCAAAGGATTACAAATTCTAACCTCCGCTGGACATCCCCAGACTTTGAAATGACCCAAACTTGGTTTGCATCCTGTCCATAATTCAAAAGTTGTCTTTGCAACTCCTTTACTTGGAACTTTGTTCAAATATACGTAGCAATTTTTAAGCCTTTACCCAATAGATATTCTGGCAAATATGCTCTTCATGTCATATTTTTGACCATATCTTTCAGAGTACGATTATGTCTTTCAAAAATGTCATGTTGCTCAAGTGTCCTTGGCATTATATATTGAAGTACTATTTCCACACCCTTGTAAAAACTTTGCAAAGTCACCCATGTTTTGTCCAGACTCGTCATACTTGCCATAGTACTCACTACCATGGTGAAATCTTACAATTTTGATACTCTTTTCACATTGTATCTCCACTTCCATTTTGAAAATCTTGAATTCTCAAGTGCATTAGATTTATCATTAATCAGGTAAACATATACATATTGTGAAAAATCATCAATAAAAGTTATAAAATATTTGTTTTCACATATGTTAGAAGGTAAACGTCCACCAATAATGTATGTGTCAAATCCAAAATACCATCACTCCTAGTGGAACTTTTTATTGTAGATTTAGTTAGATTTCCTCTTACACAATCCACACAGTTGTCAAAATTAGAGAAATCTATCTCAACTTTTACTATTCTTTCCATTCTATCCCTTAAGATGTGATCCAACTTCTTATGCTACAACACAGAGGATGATTCACGGATTAGAGCCCTTTTCTTTGACGTATTGGTAGCACAAGAGACTTCATCAAAAGAAGCCAAAGGAAATTTGTATAAATCATCATATAAAAGACCATTTCCAATCAGACGAAAATCATAAAACAATTCAACCATTCCATTACGAGCAGAAGCATCAAGTTTTGATATAGAAATTAAATTCTATCTCACGGTACAAAAATTGTATTGTCTAAAATAAGAGAAAAATCAAACTCTAAAGACAACTTCACCACTCCCACGAACTCAACCTTCATTTGAACTCCATTTCCAACGCACAAGATCACTTTATTTTCACTTGGTCTCCATTTGCTTGTAAACCCCTATAAAGAATTTGCAATATAAATACTAGTACCCGAGTCTAACCACCAAGAATTCAAAGGTACATCTACAAAAAAATATCCAAAACAAACTAAGGCCAATAAAATACCTGCAGAACTCTTCTTCTTCTCTAACTAAGTCTTAAATTTAAAATAATCATTCTGCTAATGACCCTTCTCTTTGTGGAACTTGTATTGATCATTTTCTTTATAGTTCCTTTGGGACCACCAGAAGTCTGACCTCCAAAATTTTTATTCTGCTGATTGCGGTGTGACTTATGGCCCTTATGGAACTTAGACTTATGTTTATGAGAAGACTTCTTGTTCTATGATGGCTAAATGGCCAATTGCACATTTCCAACAATCTCACTTCGCATCCTGTACTCATTTTGGGCACATACTGTAATAATGTCAATTAAATCCCATTTATCTAGTTGACCATTATAAGCAACCTTAAGCTGATTGAACTGGCTAGAAATGCTATTTAAAGCATGATAGATTAGAAAAGGCTTCGTAATGGGAATCTTAAGAGCTTTAGCTTAGATGATATATTTATCATCTTCATAACGTGCTCCCTAACTCTACTTGTACCAGCATATCTCATATTTATCAATTTGTCCATCAGATCTCTAGTTGCACCTTTATCGGACTCAACAAATCTCTCTACTGTAGAATTCATAAAATTTTGGCATTTTTATTGTCTGGAATAGCACCCATAACGGAATCGGATATAGAGCGCTTAATAATTTTCAAACAAAATTTATTGGCCATTTCCAACTTTTCATACTTAGCCACATATTTAAGAGTGCTCTTATCTGTGGGTTTCGAAAGCTGCTTTTCCTTTGCAAAATTCAAGCCCAAAAGGCCAAGTGTTATTTTTTACTTCTCGTTTCCATCTCACATTATTATTCCCAGTTTAGGTTTCAATAGCAGACAATTAACTCGAAAGAGATGAGGCATTTAAAACTGTAAAAACATAAAATATCATAATTAATATTATCCAAACATAATGCATACAGTCAAAGGATGATGATATATCCATCTAATTAATATCGGCTATTAATTAGTTAATCCATAACTAAAGTCAAAATCATATGAATCTTATTATGGTAAGAACTTAGATGCATCATTATAAAGTCATATTTGGGCGGACAATATAACGCATTATAAGGTACTCTTAAAACGCATCATGAAGCTAATTAACAAAATCACATTGATTTCCAAAATACCAACGCCTTTAGGGAGGATGAGATTTTTAGACCAAAGTAAATTTGTTAACTGCCTCATGTCATTTTCCAAAATATCACATACAATAATACCTTTGGGCAATATACTATATGTAGGGATGTCAAACGGCTTGAGCGGCTCGTCGGCTCGGCCACTCGGCTCGTGGGCGACTCGGGCTCGTCATTTGCCGAGCAGGGGGCTCGATCCTACGAGCTCGTCCAAAAAATTGGATTTTAAAAAAAAAAGGTGCAAAAAATGTGCAAAAAAAAAAAAAAATTTAAAAACACGAGCTCGCGAGCGGCTCGTTAAAAACGAGCCACGAGCCTGAGCCAAGCTCGTGGTTTAAAGGGCCGAGCCGAACTATATGTAATAATTCAAAAATGCGACGCTAACACCTTTTAATTTTTTTGGTAGAGAAAATCAAATAAATAACTATGAGTGTACCACTTTGGTAGCTATCGCCTATTTTTATCTCAAAATATTTCTCTTAATGGGAAAACAAGCATCGTCTTGAAGCCTATGAAAAATTTAATCACTAAATAATGATTATGCAACAAATCATAATTATCAATCGATAAAAGACAAAATTCAGATGTGATTGTGAGAAAAAATTGATAACAAAATTTCAATATATTAGAGTTGAAATTTAAATGGACAAATAATAACAACATTTCAATATATAAACATATTAACGAAAATATAAAAGTCATCAATTTTACATATAATTTAAATTGGGTCAAAATTAAATTATAGATCAAACCCATTTAAAATAATTTTTCAAGTGAAAAATGTTGAAATAAAAGTGTTTTTTTGTATTCATTTGATTTTGTTTTACATGAAAATTGTCAATTAAAGGAATATAATTTACTGGTATTGGAGATGGAATTTGTTTCCACTGCAAAAAAAAAAATAAAAAAATTCAAGAAAATTATCTATATTTAGGTTTTCGTTTGGCTTTGTTTTACATAAAAATTGTCAATTAAAAGAATTTTTTTTTACAATAACTCTTAGAATTTGTTTCTATTTCCCAAAAAAAAACAAAAAAACAAAAAAAGCTGGAATTTGAAAAACCACCATACCCCCATGGGAATTCTTTTTCCCTAAAAAGCTGGAATCGACACTCGTGTAAGCACTATTCATGGAAAACAATTGCCTGGAAAAAAATGGTGTACCAAACACCCAAAAAAAGTGGGAAATGGAAAAAGATTTCCATTTTCCATGGAAAATATATTGTATAAAACGGTGTCTTAATTCAATCATGCTTAGTGTACATCATAGCCTACATCTTTGTTTATATTATGTTATGTGTCATTATCTCATTTGATAGTGTAAAAGAGAAAATTATTTTCAGCCCTGCCTTTGAGCCATGTTAAAAATCAGGCTCAAAGACAGGGGCGCCACATTATCTCATTTGATAGTGTCAAAGAGAAAATTATTTTCAGCCCTGCCATTGAGCGATGTTAAAAACCAGGTTCAAAGATAGGGGCGCCAAGCTGGCTCGAAAGCTTTTTTCAAACACTTATTTTTTGACAACACATTAAATGTCAACATGAATGTACACAATTGATGTATGGCACAACCCTAATTAATTCATTTCAAGCTTGAACTCATATTATACTTTTTTACATTTTAAGTCAATATTCATGTTGTTTGAGTCCAATTTTTTTAAATTAAAACCAGGTTCAAAGATAGGGGCGCCAAGCTGGCTCGAAAGCTTTTTTCAAACACTTATTTTTTGACAACACATTAAATGTCAACATGAATGTACACAATTGATGTATGGCACAACCCTAATTAATTCATTTCAAGCTTGAACTCATATTATACTTTTTTACATTTTAAGTCAATATTCATGTTGTTTGAGTCCAATTTTTTTAAATGCATTTTGTAATAGTGTTAAAATAAATAATGTGTGGTTAAAAAATACGAATTTTTTTTTGAATTTGGGTATAATATAATTTTATTGAAAAATATGTGGTTGAAATGTGATTAAATTATTATTTAGGGTCTGTTTCGTATTGATTTTTAAAATCAAATTTTTAACCGTTAGAGAGAAAAGTGGATATTACCTGTGAGTGAAGAAGTAAAAAATAACAGTTGATCATGTTAAGTAATGGTAAAAAAAATTAATTTTTTGGTGTGAAAAATCGGAACCAAATGAGGCCTTAAGATTGTATTTTGATTAAAAAAAAAAAAAAAATAGAGCTCAAACAAGAGGCTAATTTGAAAACAATGTATAGATGATTTTTTATATTTTATATTTTTTTCGAGTTAATTGTTCTAATGGTCACTGAACTTAGGTCTATGTTTTTGATTGACAACTAAACTTTAAAATGTATAGTTTTAATCACTGAACTTAGATCTATGTCTTTGATTGGCTAATGAGTTCTTTAAAATGTCGAGTTTTGGCCGCTGAACTTTGAAAAATGTTGTTATTACTCACTGAAATTTAAAAAATATTTTACATTACTCGCTGATTCGTCCTAGCATTAAAACAAAAAACATAGTAGCAAAACTTTCAGATCGATAATTAATTCAAATTATGATGATAACACTCAGATACGCAAGGCGAAGCAGAGCTTCCACCACCAGGTTTCTCCTCCCCTTCTCAACCACCGCCACCACTTCCATCCAGCCCTACTCTTTTTATTCGAACCCTTTTTTTCCTTCCTCCATTAAATCCACCACTTCACTTCAACGCGGAACGGGATACCCGTCTGAGGTCCAAGTAAACGATGTAGTTTCGTATTTTAGAGATTGGTTCATGTCCCGGAAAAACCCGTTGCTTGATCGAATCTTCGAAATCCTTCGTGCCTACGACGAATCTGCTGCCGATTCTGCCCTTTCCCGCTTCAATTTGCGTCTCTCTGAAGCCTTAGTCCTCGACGTATTAAGCTACGAGCAAAAAGACACGCTTTCTTGCTTGAAATTCTTCGATTGGGCTGGTCGCCAGCCCGGTTTCTACCACACTAGAGCCACTTTTAATGCAATTTTTCGGATTTTATCCAAGGCCAAGCTAATGTCCCTAATGCTAGACTTCCTACAAAATTATATGAAACAGAGGTATGTGCATAAAGTTAGATTTTACAACACTTTGGTGATTGGATATGCTGTTGCGGGCAAATCTGAGGTTGCACTGGAGCTGTTCGGTAGAATGAGGTTCCAGGGCGTGGACTTGGACGCATTTGCATACCATGTGCTGTTGAATTCACTAGTCGAGGAGGGCTATTTTGACGTGGTGGAAATGGTGGCGAAGCAGATTAGGGTCCGGGCAATTCAGAATGAGGTAACACATTCGATTATGATGAAGAGTTTCTGTAAGCAGAATGAGTTGGAGAGGGCTGAAAACTACTTACGAGTTCTGGTGGGAGACAATGGGATGGGATTGAGTGGGGCTGCGGTTGGTATTTTTGTGGATGCTTTGTGCCAGGATAATCAGTTTGAGAAGGCTGCATTATTGATTGAGGAGTTTCATAAAATGAATTTGGTTTCAATGGAGTATGCATACAGCGTGTGGATTAGGGACCTTGTTAAGGCTGGGAAGTTGGATGGGGCATTGGAGTTTTTGAAGGATAAACAGTCAGTCGAGGGGTATGTTCCTGATGTTTTTCGTTATAACATGTTGATTTGTAGGCTTTTGATGGAGAACAGGCTTATTGAGGTGTGCGATTTATTGATGGAGATGAAGGAGAGGGGAATATTGCCCGATGATGTCACAATGAATACAACATTGTGCTTCTTATGCAAGGGTGGAATGATGGATGTTGCCATGGATTTGTATGATTCGAGGGCAGAGTTTGGCCTTTCTGTGAGTTGCATGGCTTACAATTATCTTATAAATACTCTAGTGGGGGATGGTACTGTTGATGAAGCATATCGTGTGTTGAGGAATTCAATAGAACAGGGTTATTTCCCTGGAAAAAGGACCTTCTCCATTATTTCTGACGCTCTTTGCAGAGAAGGAAAGCTCGATAAGATGAAAGAGTTGGTTCTTGTTGCATTAGACCGGAATATCATGCCCAATGACTTGACTTATGACAAGTTCATATCAGCTCTCTGTAGGGCCAAGAGAGTTGAAGATGGTTACTTGGTACATGGCCAGCTTAACCGATTGAATAAAGTTGCTTCTAGAAGTACATATGTTCACCTGATCAACGGTTTTAACAAGTTGAGTAGAGGGGATATTGCTGCTAGATTACTCATAGAAATGCAAGAAAAAGGTTATCGCCCGAAAAGGAAATTGTATAGAGATGTGATTTGCTGTTTATGTCAAACAGATGATGCAGAGAAGCAAGTTTTCAGATTGCTAGAGATGCAGCTGGCTCGGCTTCAGCCCAGTTCACGTATTTACAATTTCTTCATTGATGGTGCTGGGCATGCCAGGAAGCCTGAGCTGGCTAGGCAAGTATATGAAATGATGACAAGAAGTGGTCTCGTACCGGACTTGAATTCTGACATACTAATGTTGCAAAGCTACCTGAAAAGTGAAAAAATTGCTGATGCGCTAAATTTCTTCCATGAAGCATACAAGAGGAGAGACCGTAGAAAACTGTGGCAGACCATGATTGTTGGTCTTTGCAAAGTTAACAAACCAGAGCATGCATTGCAGATATTTGAGAAAATGAAAGCAAACAAGTTACCGAGTCTGGAATCTTATGAGGAACTAGTGAAGTTGTATTGTGATCATAGGCAATACTATAAGGTTGTAGAACTTATCAATGATATGACTCAAATTGGGCGTCCTATTTCTTCCTTTATCGGCAATGTACTTCTGCTGAATTCTTTGAGAACTCGGAAACTGTATGATGCGTGGGCTTATTTTAGTCATGAGCAAAATCTAACACCTGTCAGTTGGAAATTGGGCCAGCTGGTTGGCGTTTTTTCTGGCTGTATTGAAGTAAACCAAGATATGGAGGATGTGGAAAAACAGATTCAGCAATCCTTCCCTCTAGACACCTACACTTACAATATGCTTTTGAGAAGATTAAGCATGAAGGAAATGGGCTATGCTAGCCAGTACCTTGATAGATTACATCAAAAAGGGTATGAGCCAAATAGATGGACCTATGATATCATAGTGCACGGTTTTGCCAAACGTGGTCAGATTGTAGAGGCTAGAAAGTGGATGGAAGAGATGTTTAGTAAAGGTTTCGATCTTACTGAGTACACCAAAAAAGTTATCTAGCATAAAAATCACTTTTTATTCATTCAGAAAGTTACATATGATTCATCAGACGTACAACTGCCAAAAGCTTGGTGAGTTCATTGCATTAACTCATAATTTTCATTTTTTTTTTGTTGTACACTACTTTAAACCTGTTCTATGTCAGCAAAATAATGCTTCTGGTATGTATTTACTCTTGTTTTTGATTTGAGAAGAAATTACAATAGTTATTTTCTGCTTTTGCTACTTATTTGTTTCTGTTTGACTCATATCCCAATGATGTCAGGTATGGACATATTTAAGTCACTGTTCATATTAGTGGCACTTCACAGAGTTTTCATATCTTGTGTTATATCATGAATAAGAATATGAAGAACTTAGATATATGCTTCTTGGTATTCTTGTTTGTCATTTATGGTTCTTTCAACTTTGTTTAGATTGTATATCTTAAGACTTAGAAATGTGAGGATTATATGATCATTTTATTTGATTGCTCAAGAATCACGAATTTGAAAAAATGACTTACTTTGTAGTTTATATTAGTCATGTAAGTGCACTGTATGAATTAGAATGGAATAAAATTGAATGGTGTACCTAAGGTTTGCTTTCTGGCAAACAAACTGGATAGATTCTTATTTGTCTCTTGCATAGAAAGATTTTGGGAAAAAGCGTTTGCCCCAGGAAAATTCATTTTTATTTCTTTGAAAGTAAAGCTAGATAGTAAAAGAGAAGTAGAATTAATACAGAATAAAGATAATATGCAATGAAGTGGAAAATGTACCAAGTAGAGATTGGTAGAGACAAGGTTTCAATTTTGAGGTGGAAAATAATTGGGGAATCATGTTTTAAATAATGAGCTCATCAATTTTAAATTTTAATTTTTTTTGGATATCATATTTTTGTAGTTCTTGGAATCTTAAATCGGAAATGGACCATTGGAGTATATTAGTATTGGCAGAATATCTGTACAGTTGTGATCATATAGTTATTATTATGATCCCGTAACCTTTTGTCTCTCATGATCTTACTCCATATATTGAGATTAACTAAATTGTTATTGTTTTTGTCGGTACCATAATTAACATTGTACTCAAATTGGACTTATTCCGGACAGATCTGTATTCTCCACTAGCCATTACTACAACTCACTGTGTCCAATGGACATCCTGTTCTCTTTACTTTCTTTAATAAAATACCTAGACATATAGGTCCATATGGAGTTATGAAATTCTTTATGCGCGCACACATATTCATGAAATTGTATCTCCTTCTGTATATGGGAGACTATAAGATGCTGTATCTTTATTTCAAAATTTAATTAGTTTCCCATGTCAGTAGAATACTTGAGTAATTGCTGACAAGTGTCACACTTTATACCTCTCACCTTTTTATGTGAATCAACTACCAGATTATTGGACTTTGTGTATCAATCTTGTGTAAATTCATTGGCTTCCTTAGATTTTATCTTTCAAACACCTTTTACATTATATGAAAGATTCTATAATTACTAAAAGGAATAATGTATAATAAAAAAAAAAAGGGGAAATTTTGTATTTTAAGGATTTGTTCCCTGACCAGTAAATTTTTCAGTTTTCTTCCAAGCGTTTGGTATCACCTCAGTGTTTCGAGTAAAATGCCTCTGAAGTGTAGTCATAGAGATTTATTCACATTTACCATGATTTTCCCCATTTGATATGTTTTCCCATCTTCTCCCATAAATTTAGTTCAACCATACAACTGGAAAATAAATTTTCCAATTTACTTGTTTCTTTTTTCCTCTTACTTTCCTGGAAACTAACATAGCTAAGGTCCATTCTTCATTTGTGAACTTTGTGAAAGGACTTTGCATTTATTGTTTAAATGCTGTCCATTTGCTATATGCCCCAACATTTTCTTCTTAGGTAGTTATGGCAAAAAAACCTGTCCTGCTCCGAATGGGGCAAAAAAACCCTCTCCGATGGGTTGGCGGGGCGGGGGTGCCCAGCCTGGTGAAATTTTTTTATTTTTTATTTTTAAATTTCAAATATTATTATTAGAAAATAAAATACAAATGTAAAATTTTAATTAATTACAAAAGAAATAAAATTTAGTCAAAACGTAATTTTATTTGAAATTGTTTAATTTTTAACATTGTTTATTTCAAGTGTTTACTTTGAATTTTAAAATTTTGAATTTATATTTTATTCTCTAATAATAACATAATTTTAAATTTAAAAAAAAATAAAATAAAATAAAAAATTAAACGGGGCGACAAATGGGGCCCGGCCTAGCCCCGCCCCTTCCCGAACCCGCCCCACTGCCATCCCTGTTCTTAGGTCGTATTTATTGGTGTAGAGGGTTGATATTTTTAGATGCAGTAAATCCAGCTCTCAACAAATCTGTACCATATACCTGAGAAAAAAGGTAATGTTTCAAAAGGAAAATGAAGAAGTATCTGTGTACTAAGCTGTGAGCTTTGTTCTATAAGCTCATTTGCTCTCTAAGCTTGTCAGCTTGACTGCGACACATGCAGAAATGGGTAAAAGCAATTCACTTTCAACCATAAAAAACTTAGTGTCCAAAAACTTTCAGGCTGCCAAATATCCATCTTCTTTGTTAATAGTAAGAAGATAATCTCACCATTGAACCGCATGACTTTACACCTTCTCATGCAATTCGACTAGAACATTTTCAGTCCTTTTGGGATTTTGTTCCTATGACTTTTAAGCTTGCCTGGGATCTTAAAAATTCCAATGAACTATTCACGTCTCACTATTTCTGGGGTAGCTTAATTGCATCTCCTAACAAGCACGGGGATTTCAAAAGTTTCAGAGGATTAAGGATTTCCACAATATGATGCATTCATTTGGCTGTCACTCTTCTTGGCCTATTAGACTAGTGCGCCCTGTGGTTAGTCTAGAGGGAATGGAATTCTCTACCCTTTGTTGCAACAATGTACTTCGTAATCATGTTATTTCATATCCCATTAAATATATTTCTTGGACATCGGTATCTTTAGTTTAAATGACTAGATAGCTATGCCAAACTCAAATATTCTACAATTACATTTTATTCACATTAATGCTCTCAATACAGTAGTTGCCTTTCTTGGATACCCTTGCTTCCAAGTTGAGCTGAAATCATTTGAGTGCTTGTTTGGTTCTCTTGGACTCTCTACAACAAGGCCAAAAATAATCAAGTGCTTGTGGTGGTGAGCACGACGTGCCTAAATTCTCCTTTTAGATGCAGGAGACAGTGACAGTGCATGAGTGTCAAGTCATAAGATTCTTTTATATATTTCACTTTATTTGCCTCTCCATGCCTCTGAAATGGATCTTCCCTCACAAGTTCTATCTCTATTTTTGGAGTGAAGCATGTAGTAGACTTGAGGAATGGAGGATAAATATGAGGATAATATCCCAATAATTTACCCTCCAACTCATCTTCCCTTTCGCAAGTCGTCTTTATCTTCCCAGCCTGCCACCTTCCACAACCTTTGGATTAAACAGCACGACAAATCAGACGAGGTAATTAAAAGTATATTGGGAAAACTTCTTCTTTGTAATGATAAAATGAATGTGTATGAGACTTGTGATGGTTATGTTGGTGTTTTGAGCGGTTGGTAACTAAAAGGTGCCCAGAAAGATGTGGATGAACATGGGATTTAAGTGATGTATAGTGAAGGTGCATGCTGGTTTGGTGCCCACAGTAGCGTGTTCTTCTGGAATTATATGGAGAGAAGGGAAGTATAAAACTGGATTATGATCTGCATGTGTGCAAGCGGCTGTGAATTATGTTCCAAGGAAGTTAAAAACCTTCAAACTTAGTTTCCGAAACTTCCATTTACAGCTCATTTCTTGTTTTTATCTAGTTGAAACTATAAAATGTACGTAATCTACAACTTAATTGATATTTAAATTTGTACGTCCTTATTGTCAGGAAATGTGGGACTGGGATGTCGAATAATGTGCAGGTTCATGGAAGGAAACAATTATTCTTGTGAAATGCTGATCCACTTGAAAGCGAATAGTTATATTCCACCAGGTACATATAGCATTATGCAGTCTAAAACCCACATGGAAGATTAGGTATGTTCTTGTGATGTGTTACTATTTGTNATTCCACCAGGTACATATAGCATTATGCAGTCTAAAACCCACATGGAAGATTAGGTATGTTCTTGTGATGTGTTACTATTTGTAGAATTAAACGGTTTTCATGTAGTCTCGAGTCTTTGGAGCTTGCTTTGTACAATCAATTGGACTTGAAACTCCAGAAACTGCAAGCAGGTTAATCAACCCCTTTGCTTTCATGGTAATAAATTCTAGCAGGGCGAAAGGTCCAAATGACACACAGTTGGAACTCAAAGCCCTTTCAGGTCATCTAATAGGTAGGTGTAGCCAATGGTACTTTGATAGATCAACCATTTTTTTACTAGATCACCATCACATCCCCGATGTGTTTTTTAGGCTCCACAAGACAGGACGGATGTGAATAAGATTTTCTTACCATGATATAAATGGAACCTAAATAATACAATGGATGGGGACATAAACCTGACCTCCAATCCAATGCATGAAAGACGAAAGCAGTAAATGAGGTAGTATTTACCTCCTGTACAAATATGAAGAAAGAAACAATAGTCTAAAGACTGCTGAATGTGAAAAGTCCATATCTGTTAATCTGTACATGAGTGCAACCATTGGTCCTAACCTTCTGTAGTGAGTTAGCAACCTAGTTTCGCTCACGATAGATGTGGGAAATAGTATAACTATCAAGGGAAAGTAGATGGCTGATATGTTTAAGAGTAGCCTAAATAGACTATGGACCTCCACTACAGATGATACAATATACTAGAGAGGAGTCTACCTCTATCCATAAGTTTGAAAGTCTGAACCTCTCCAGTACTAAAAGAAGAAAGCTCCAGTCACGGTCATATGCTTTAGCCATAACAAGCTTACATTACCTTCCCGCACCTTTGCATTAGGAGTATGAAGGAGCTTTTGGGTCAAGGGTACATTATCACCAATAAGTCTGCTTACAGTTAATGCGCTCTGATATATGGAAGTGAAGAATTCAATTGCGAATTCAAAAGCGTAGTATTTACCTGTGTTCTAAAAAGCGTGGCTAGACGTCGTGGTCATGTTTCAAGCTTTACAAGTTTAGGGGAACCTAATCATGGCGTAGGTCAAAAAAGTCATTTTTTATTTTTAATACTATTTTTAAACTTCTAATCATTCTACTGATTATTTAATAATTAAATAATACNAGGTCAAAAAAGTCATTTTTTATTTTTAATACTATTTTTAAACTTCTAATCATTCTACTGATTATTTAATAATTAAATAATACGTACCTAACATCTAAAATTATAAAATACTATATTTACTTAATAATTTCTACAATTAGTCAATAGGAAAAAATTGAAACAAAAGTCACATAAGAATCTTTTCAAAAATGGAAAAAAAAAAGAAATTAATAAAGCACTCTTAATTGCGCATTAAACGATCAATTTGGCAGTTGAATGCTTAATTTCGCGCTTACTGCCAAGGATTGGCGTTTAGGCGCATTTTTTTGAGCATTGGTATTCACCTTATTTGACATTGTCACCTTATCTGACATTGTGTATAAGCTGAAGGATCAAAACTTAGACCACCTACAAGCACCATCCTTCTTGGAGACCAAAACAATAGAGGTCACGGCAAATCCCTTGGGTACGTGACCACAGCAAAAAGATCCAACATTGCCTGAAAATACATTATCATGACTAATATTTCAGCAGTGCTGATAAAAGGAGGAGAATACATATAAATCTGCGGCACTATTGGCATCAATGCTGAAAACCACTTCTTGTACCTCATCTAAGAAGGTCGTTGGTTGAGTTCTAAATTATTTGCCTCCATTACCATACTAGGTATGATGTAAGGTCTAATAAGATTAACAAGTTGTGAAGGGGCAGACGAGATCCTGAAAATAGGAGATAGCCAAGCTTTGAAACGTGTCAAGGATATTCCTTGACTGCATCCGAATATACCAATGTAAGATTAGATCTGGTCAATCATCAAGTGAAAACAACAGGTGTTACGGCCACCCTAACAAACCTAGCTTGAACTAGCCTTCTGCTTTCAATAACTTTCCTCAGGTCAAGTGAACAGGTGTAGGCTCCGAGTCGTAAACTCCCTATGTATCATTTCCTGACCGGTTGAAATATCAGTAAATACACATTGAGTCCACCAATGAAACCTCTGTTTCAGCTTAATGGATGTCTCCCAGAGAGTAGCCATCCTGGTAGGATGTGTAGGGAGGGACCACTTCTAAGAGAAAAGACTGAAAAATCATGATGCTTAGTCCACACGTTGAGGTATCAAAAGAGCCAAGGCCCAAAATTGTCGTCCTAAGAACACTGAAGAAGCAAATGCAGATGATAAGAACTCCAATTCAAATGCCTGAAAGTGTGCCATCGAAAAAATGATGAAGCCAAAGAATTAATGAAGACTATCCAACCATGTCAACACCCTGTTATTAAAGTTTACTGGCTCCCTAAGAATCCAGCATCAACAAACTCACACAATACATCATCATATCACAAAAGTTTGAATTACATCTCTTCCTCCCTGTGTGCTCCCCATGATGTGCAACGATATTAAAATCTCCCCCAGTTATGGCACATCAACAATAAGGGAAGTATGGTGAAGATCTGTTCATAAGCTCTCATACCAATATAAGAACAAGAAACATGGACAGGAGAAATATAAATTGGTCTAGCCAGCCTAGGATCCTTAATTTTAGTATGCAAGAATTGGGGATGATCAACAATAATTGAAACAAGAGTCTCCACATTCCAGAAACATCAAATCTTAATAGACGCATTCTCTAACTCATGCCAAAGTATAATGATCGTCAAATAAAGTTAAAGTTCTTATTTATGACAAATGGCTCCAAAATCAAAAGGAGATAAATATGGAGTTGAACGAGTTTCTTAAGACACGATTACTTTTGCTAGCTACACCCTCACATTCCATATAAGGACATATAAAAAATTGGAGGGGAACATCACCTATGCAACTGGTGCTCTCAGTCATTCATCTAGTAAGATGTAGAGTATCTAATGCCTTACGATTCCTTGGGCTCCGAATTTGGATAAAACCATCATGATTTTGCCTATCCCAACCCAAACAAGTTCTCAGAAGAACTCCTGCCAAAATGCTCCCACTGGTGGACCATCTACTTTCACTCTATATTTTATATAGTGGCCTCCACGATCTCATGACAACTGAAATAAATACTAACTTCCGTGGGTCCTAACTTGTTGGTAAGCGCGTAGAGCAACTGTAAGTGGTCTCAGATCGGGAGGAGATGACTGCTCTCTTATCACTGTCAATATATACTCAGGCAAGGGATCTGGTAAAGCAGTAAATGAAGATGGCTTAGGAGCCGTGGAGTGAGGTAAATATTTTCTAGTAGGGTACCTTGACAGGAGACACTGAAGGACCAATACTTATACGTGTAGGCTCAGGAGAAAATACTAGAGCAGGAATAACTGAAAGAGCAAGAATAACTTGGGGAACCACTTACGGAGCAGATGCTGTAATAGGTGCGCCACATCAGAACTGGCCAGCTGTTGTCCAGAAGAACAATAATTGGAACCCACTGTTTAGGAGTTTCTACAGCAACCTCCATGCCTTTACTCTTACCAGCCCGACTGGTAGGTCGGGGGAAAGACAACACACGGGGAGCAGGGGAATGCCAACCATACACTGATCAACACGGTGTCCCATATGTCTACACTTACTATAGAAAAACGGGTAACTTATAAATCATATCTTGCCAAAAATCGTTGTTCTCACCACGCTCAATCCAAACCTATCAGGTAGCTTATCCTCCAAATTCACTTCAACAGAAACCTACCTATGCCAGGCTTACGCATGTCCAAGTTGTCCTCATTAATCCTTCAGTACTCCAATGGTTTTAGCCAATGCAAACAAAAAACTTTTGGCACACAAAATGAACAGTCAGTAATGGGAAAAATATTTATGAGTAATAGGAGTCTCAAGCTCAGGATGGAAATCACAAGTCCCTTTTAATATATGCATTGAACAACCCTCAATATACTTGAAGGTTTCATGAGCAGTCTACTATAGTTATCCCCATGCATTAAATGAATCCAAATATGCTTATAATTAATAAGACCAATTTTAAATTCAACATGAAACACGTAGTATAGAAAATTTTCACGTACCTTCAACATGTAGGCTTGTGATGAGAAAATTTGCCATATGTGTAAACTTGAATGGCAGGCAAGATAGCCTCATCATATGAAGATAATGCAATGGCAAGCTCGCTAAGTAGAGAGTGGACTTCTTAGCCATAAAGCTATGTCAAATAGAGTCAGCCTGGCCTTGGAGTACAAAAGCAAATAATTTTCTTAAACTCTTCTCGGTCTGGGAAATGGGCTTACGATTAGTAACTGCTGCTGCATAAATCATTAATCCTTCAGTACTCCAATGGTTTTAGCCAATGCAAACAAAAAACTTTTGGCACACAAAATGAACAGTCAGTAATGGGAAAAATATTTATGAGTAATAGGAGTCTCAAGCTCAGGATGGAAATCACAAGTCCCTTTTAATATATGCATTGAACAACCCTCAATATACTTGAAGGTTTCATGAGCAGTCTACTATAGTTATCCCCATGCATTAAATGAATCCAAATATGCTTATAATTAATAAGACCAATTTTAAATTCACCATGAAACACATAGTATAGAAAATTTTCACGTACCTTCAACATGTAGGCTTGTGATGAGAAAATTTGCCATATGTGTAAACTTGAATGGCAGGCAAGATAGCCTCATCATATGAAGATAATGCAATGGCAAGCTCGCTAAGTAGAGAGTGGACTTCTTAGCCATAAAGCTATGTCAAATAGAGTCAGCCTGGCCTTGGAGTACAAAAGCAAATAATTTTCTTAAACTCTTCTCGGTCTGGGAAATGGGCTTACGATTAGTAACTGCTGCTGCATAAATCATCCAGCTCGATTAAGAGTAGACTGAGTCTTTTGGGGCAGAATAGGTTGGCAAAATTATCCTAGAGAAGTGGAACAATGGGTGGGGGTCGTAGCTAGCTCTTGATGTGCACGAGTTGAGGCAACATGTGTATCACATGTGGCATGTGTTCCACACATGTGATGGGTTAGGTCAGGAAAGGTCGGATGTGTCGCGTAGGCTGGGGAACCAGAATTCGGAGCACGTGTGGCCCATCAAGATGTGTGCGGTTGGGTTGCATGCATGCCGAGGCAGTTCGAATTCCAATGAATTGTTGTTTTTGATTGTAGCATCTCCTAGGGTGTCAAAGGTCATTCTGCATCAAATTGATGATTGGTGGTGGATCCTATCAAAAAGCATGGGAGGGGTCGTCCAAGGCCGGCGGTCAAATGGGCGATCTCCAGAACGATGGTCCCATTGGAATAGGTGGCAGCATTAGGGGCTATACATGCTGCTGCCATTGAAAGGTTTTTGTTGCCAACAGGGACACGTATGGTCAGCATTGGCCCGGGGGATTGTTGGACCAGTCGACAGTACTTTGCCAACTCTGATGTAGTCTGGATCTGGGAGTTTGTTGGCAGATCTTGGGCTTTGGAATGCGCATTGGAGCTCCGTTTTGGTCCAAAATTGCCTAGAGCTTGAGAGAGTTTAAAATAGATTGGGCCAGCAGCCATTAAATCAAAGAAAGGGTTTGCAATGCATTGGTGCTTTTGTCTTTTTCACTTCCATCGACAGCAGAAAAACTACTCTATAGGGGTGCTAGCTTATGGAATGATCAATTCTCCAGGGTGGGCATCAATGCCAGACAGCGAATATTTTGGTTTCTTACAGTGGCAATAGCAGAAAAACTACTGTAGAGGGGGGCTAGCATATCAAATGATCGATTCATGCTTTTAACACTAGAAAGATAGTTCTCTTACAGTGGCAGATCAAAAGATAACTTGATGAGCAAAATCCGCTGATTAGATAAAAGAGGAAGGTTATCAAATCCAAAGCCTATGGCCTCCTCATGACACCCTTATCTACGAAGTTCATTCTTACATTGAGGGTCTGGCATTTATTATGGCCTTCCTGATGAAAATCATTTGCTTAAATATGTTCCCTTTGTTATCTCGTTGTGAGCAGATACTGGAACTGTATGCAAGCAGCATATGATAATATCTGTGCCTGCAGAAACTTGATTTAACTGTTCCAATAGTTAAATTATAGATCTGTAGAATTTCATTTGGAGCTTCAAAAGTTGAAGCATCTCTCTGTAAAGATTAATTGGGGGCTTAATTTCTTTTTTGGCAGATGTAAACATGCAATGTGGATGTTAACAACTTGGTATTT